TTCTATGATTCTATGATTCTATGAAATTGTCCCCGTTCTGTAGGAATCTAATATTCATGTTAATCAGCTTACCATAAAATGTTGCAATAGAGTGGTTTTTTGGGTTTGTTGTTTTTTTTTTAATGTTTCCTCAGGATCTGTTGTTTTCTCACCATTTCCTTAATCTATGTGATACTGTTGGATTAACTGCATGGTTACAGCCAGTTCTGAGAACTTCTGCTTACCTGCTAGGCACTGGGAAAACACTTCACTAGAACTGGAGAGTAAGGCTGTGTCCACACCTATGTTAACCATGTGAACTTGTCTACCTAGTTCTCTTTGGAAGTCTTTGGAGATAAATCTACATTGCAATATTAGGACTCTTCTAGGAATAAGCTTGTCTGCATGACACTGGCCACATCTGCAAGAGCTCCAAAAGATGTGTAATATTGCAGGCTAAATGGCTGTTGAATAGACAATGTTCAACCTGTCTGTATATTGGGGCCATGAGTGCATAGACATTTAAACACAACACAGAATCACGGTTGCTTTTCAAAGTGTGCCCCAAAGTCTGCCTAAAGCTTGTGTCTGAACGTAAGCATATGTCCGAGCAATGCAGATGAACAGAAAGTGATGGTGGGTGCAAGCTCTGGCTGGTATTTAGAAAGCAATGCGTGTATACCCTAAGAGATCATAACCTTTTAGAGGCAGTATCTGCTATCAGTGTAACACATTGACAGAGACAGAGATTTCAAAGAAAACACCACTCAATATTACAATAGATTTACAGAACAGGGAAACTGAGTCCTAAAGGTAAGACAAAACGGCTACAGAATAAAGCCATGTAGATTCGGTGTGTTTAAAGATGTATTGCAGATTGTCCCTTTGACCACTAAACACAGTCTTGTAGGTTCAGATTTTAGGCCTTAAATGAAGTCTGCAGCTTGGAAGGGTTTTTTTAAAATCATTGACCTTTCAGTTACTATTAGAGAGAAGAGAACTGGAGGGTGGAAGAAAAATATTGTCTCAGCTCTAAAAGCATGTATCTAAGAGCAACTCATGTCTTTGGAAGGAAATGCTAAAATGAAGATAGCTGTTGTTCTACAGTTTGTTCTGTGTAAGTGCCTGAAAACAAAGGAAAATTATTTTAAACAGAAGTGAAGGGTCCAGCTGTTATGTTTGGTTTGGATTTTTTTGCCTATCTAGATTTCAAGTAAGACTGCCAAATTAGTAAAAGTATGGTCATAAAGGCACAGTAATTGTAGCCTGCTGTATTTCTTAAACACTGATTTTAACCTGTCTGAGGTTGTTGTGTACAAACCTGCTGTTCATGTTCTCCGTGTGTTTTCTTCTAGAACGTGGTAGTGAGGGTGAAGAATGAGGTCTCTGTGAACAGAGTTTCCGTTGCCTGGCCTGACGGAAATTTAGCAAGTCAGCTGCACTTATGTTTTAAATGAGCATGTATGTTCAGTTAGATGAAAGGGAACTTTGATATTAAACAAATATCAACTTGTGTAAGTGGAAGGATTTGTTATGTTTTATGGGGATTTTTTTGGGCTGAAGACATTCATCAAACCTTTATCACTGAAGATGTGCAGGTGTTATTTTCTTCTTGTCACTGTAGAACAGAATGAGCAAATACCTATGCTGTATCTAGCAGATCTTTCCTGGGGGCTTTCTCCCTAGAAAAATGTATTAAAGCTCCCCCACAAAAGGAGGAGAGTTGTTCAAACTATCCAAAGGGAGGGAATTTCCTAATCTTTAACTGGTAAGGCTCTTAAACAGTAAAGCAGAAAAGCTCAGTGAAATCGTTTCAAATATTTGGAAACTAAGCCATGGCTCCACAAGGATATTTGTGACTTGGATCTCTGAATTCTGGTCCTTAGTATACTGAACTGCAATATTTTGTGTGTAAATATGTCAAGGGGAGTTTTTTCCACTTCCTATGCAGAATAAAGTTCAGTGTTTCTCAAATACGCTATTTTACATGAGATTTTTGTTAGCCAGATAATCTGGCAGGCAAATTTATCAAAGATACAGAAGACAGCTTTGGGCCTCATCAGCATTGCAAAGACCAATTATTACTGCAAAGGTATAAATAAATAGTTTATGTACTTTTGGGGGGTAATCTGATACAAGTTTAAGCTCTATATTTCATTATTGATTCAAGGAAAGATTCTGTTTGCTAAAGAAAACATGGTTTTTTTTAATATTGCTAGTACTTTTCCAAAATGAAGGGATCTTTAAGAAAAGAAGTAGAAAAATATGTATCTCTCAGAGAAAAATATTTAATTAAATGAAAAGGGGATAAATATTCACTTGTGTACACATATTTCATTTTAATTTCTTTATTTACTATGTTATAGTTAGATTTTAACATATAAAATTATTTACCTTTAGAATTCATACATTGGATCTGAATAATTCACCATAAAATTTTGCATTTACATTGCTCTTTTATTGCCTTCAGTACAGTTTTTGTAATAAAATATTTTTCTTCATATTGCTATACAACTTACAGTTGGGTAGATAATAGAGTTGACTTTTAGCATTTCATATATCAATTTCATTATTAATAGAAATATTTTCCCAATTAATGACATTTGAAAAAATGCATCTTGCTCAGTGTAGCAGTGAGTTAATAATTTGTTTTTAAAGATTCTTATAGCAGATGACAGTATTGGCTTCTGTCAAAGCTTAGATGAGGTTACCAACTGGCAAACGGGGTAGACACATGTATGCATAAGGTGTTTTGCTCAGGTTGATGGGATTACCATCCAGTCTGATGTCTTCAAGAGCCCTACGTACATAAGTAACATCTTTCATTTTGCAGAAAGTGTCTTCGTGCATCTCTTGAATGTTGTTGTTCTAAAAAGAAAAAAAAAAGCTATCAGAATAATTGCCTGAAAGTAATTTTTTACTCTTTGAAGAATAATTTATGGATGTTTTTTCAGTGCCTAGAGAGACACTTGTTTCAAACCAAGGGACCAGATTGTGGCTGCAAGTCATCTATAAAGAAATCTTTCAAGCAAGAGGAAAATTTCTTGGCCAGTGCAAAGCTTCAAAACTAAGTAACTCAAACCATGTAGCAGAGACAGGCTTTGCAGGAGGCACCTGGTAGAAGTACAGAGTATTTTCATTTTTGGGATCATACTGAAGAGCACTATTAACGCAAATTGGAACCAGCATAGGCCAGTCCAAAAATGATAGAACCTTAATTATCATCCTGACAGCTTGATGCGCCTCAACCTGCAAAGGCATAAATCTGCAATTTGGTCTGTGACAAATTTCTTTCCCCCAGGCCCTCTCACATTAACTTAACCCACATCTGTATATATACAGGGAAAATTGAATGTTTTAGGTTTTATTCCTTTGATTTAAATTCCTCTTATATACCTTATCTTCACTGAACTTTTGTTCTTGACTTGAACCATTTTCAACAATGAATTGCTAGAATTCAATATTGTCTGGAAATTGATACTGAAAAGGTAAGCTCTTAAAATGAGGGCTGTCTGAAAATTCTTTCCTTCTCCATTCCTTTGCTAGTCAGATATTGGTGTGGAAAAAGTCCAGCTCACTAGCTTTGGTCTGTAGCACATAGCACTGAATATTTAATTTACAGGCACGGGCAGGTGAAAAAAATAGTCAGCTAGAAGGCAGAATATTTCTATAGATTTATTTATTGAAAGATAGAAGTCAAATTACGTGTGGTACACCAGGACATTTATTCAAAGCTTTTTTGCTGTATTATGTAATAAACAAAAACGTCTTCTGATAATCAAAACTGGGCATTGGTGCAAGAGGAAATAAAGGGAAAGAAGCAGAGATGGAAAAGGTTAAAAGCAAGAAGTCAGAAACAAAGGTATGGGTAAAAGCAAATACAAAAATAGTAATACAGAAAGATGATGGATGGGATGTTCCAACACAATTAAATGGAAAAGTTTGGCTGAAAAATATTAGCAACTGGGAATGACATTTATTAAGAGAATGAAAGGCACTGGTATAGATACAACCAATACGTAAACTTTCTTCGGGTATCTAAAAGCATTCCTGTTGAAAGATTTGTATGAGCAGTGTGAGGGATTTCTGTCTTTGAAATCTCTTAGACTAATGTTGCTCTTGATAGATGTGAATCTAACTTTAATCTGTACTAACAATAAATCTAGAATTTTATGTTTGAAAAATATTGTATTACAAATTCTAATAATTAATGCTTAGTTGAGCTAAATTATACTTCTTTCAAATACTGCATTTACTAGTTAACTGTATGTTTCCAATAGTTTGTTTAGTTAAGTAAGTACACTTTTGGATAAACAGAAGAAACAAAACAAGACAATAGTTACCCTTTCCCGTTTTACTTACTATTTGAACGTGACATATAGAGCCATTGCTTTTGTAGCCTACCTGAAGATGAAGAGCTTGGAGGCTTTCAGGGAGCGGCAATGGAATGTGATCCAAGTTATTGTCAGTGATGTAAAGATGCTGCAGTTCATGCAGATCCTAGAGAATGAAGGAAAAAGGCAGGGGAAAATGACAGACATCTTTGAAAACCTCTAGCAAGTAGGTTTGAAATCTATCACTGCAATGAGCACCACTGGATACTAACACATTTTGTTGCAGCATGATACGGTTGAAAAGGCAGAAATACAAAGACAGTCATGAACTTTCATTTGGACAAGCTGAGAACCGTTACTGTTAAAGATTAAGTGTTTGGATTAAAATAAAGGAAAAAATTCTTCAGAATGTCTAGAGACTTAACAATTAGAGATGTAACTTCAATGATGTTCTGAAGTGAAAATACTGCCTTACCCAGTCATTATGCAGAAAAGCTTCCTATTCTGTCTGTTTTGTAAGCTTGTTTTGTGACAAGCTTACTCAATTTTGCAGAAGTGTATTGCTGTTGAAGCAAATTATAACTGCATAAGAAATGCCTGAGCTAAAAATAAATTTCTCATTCCATTTGAAAAGGTAAATCATTTTCTCCCTTGATTTAGTGGGAGAAACAGCTTCATCTGGTAGTTCTAACAATAGTAAGACATAAACTTGGCTAGGTCAATAAGGCTCGGTAGAATACTCTCTTTTTGCCCCCTTTTTACACACACAAGTTATCATGGTACCTAACTACTTCTTTGAGTACAGTGTCCTAGTTTAATTCCTACTAACAAAACTCTGAGATATCAGGGTGAAAGTTCTTGGCAGATAGAGAAGATGAAGGCTGAGACTCCTTCATGGCTAAAATCAGGAGAGTGCAGAAGAAAAGGATGCTAGGCCAGAGCCTTGATTTGGGGGACTGATTTTTGCCCATCATTCTTATTCCCAACACCTACCTTATGTTGGGCTAGGAGAAAATATCTGATTCAGTAACTGCTGTTGGTTGCTTCATTAAGCTGTCTTCCAAAGGAGGAATTCAGAGACGGCTGGTTACAGCTACCTTCTTAGATGCAATTGAATAGTGCATATGAGCCAGGTCTAACATATGACGCTAACTTGTATTCTATAATGACTTCAGATTTCACATGCAATTAGGAGCAGTACATGGCTGCTTCCCCCCACCAAAATTCCTGAGGAAGGACTATCACTCAGAAGTTCCAATTTCCCTTCTTTTCAAGGTGGAAAGAAAGTATATACATTTAATGACTACTCTAGCAAGTTCCCATGTAGATACATGGCAGAGTAAGTTTGAAGCAGTGGCATCCATAGCTTTGCCCTTCCCTCGTGCCTACTTGTAAGGGAACATCAAGCAGCTTTCTGGACTCTTGCTAGTTATGGGGGTAGTTGGTTCACAGATACAAATATAGTGTGCCATTGCGTGTCTTGTGTGGATCTTTGTAAAGAAGAATAAAAAGAATTCTTATGTCCAGCTGATAGTGCTCATACAGCTTGCTCCATCTTTATAGATTGCCCAGCAGCCAGCACAGTCATGGTGCCTATAATCTTAAGGGTTTTACTACTGTAGAGAGACACTTAGGCTGCTCTTCTGACCATATCCTTTGGAGAGAGGAAGAAAAGATTTTCCCATCAAACACAGACTTACTTTAAATGCCTCATTACGTATTCCCTTGCGACCAAGCCTGTTCTTACTAACATCGATGAATGTTAAGGTAGATGGTAACTCAGGGAGTTGCCTTATCCTGTTGTCACGGAGCACCAGCTCCTCAAGTTGGGGTAATCTCCGGAAGGCATCTTCATGGATCTCTGATATAAAGTTTGCAGTCAAATCAATCCTCTTTAAATTGTCTGGCAGAGAAATAAGATACAGCAAGCATGTAAGAATGTATTTCCTGAAAGTTTTAAAAAAGAAGGTGGCAAATGGGTTATTTTAATGTCAGGTGAAGTGTCTTGAATCAGATCCATTCCTGATCTACTATGTGACAGCTCGCTCTCTCTGTATACAATGCAATAATCTGTATTTGAACAATTCTCCTAAGGAAGGGAACCGACATCTCCTTCTCATCCTGTTTAGAATTGCCTGTGTCATTCTTCATATATCTTTCAGTGAAAGATTTTAAAATTTCTGTGTGTTCTGGGAATCTTTTAAATGGTTATCTTTTGGAAAAATCACATATAAAGGGAAATAAACATATTCTCTATTACCTGGTTCCACACGTTTGTTTATTTTCAACATCTTCCTATGTGTAAGAAATTTGACGTATTGACTCTTTTCTAAAATACCCTCAAACACTTTTTCCAATCAAAAAAAGAAAATGAAACTTATTTTTGGCAAAAGAGAACAATATCTAAATATCAGTGCATTAATATGCATTAATTTTAAATGCATTATTCTGTAGCTTACTTCTATTTTCCACCCAGAACATTTTTCATGGTTATTTTATTTCATTTTATTTTATTATTTTATTCTTATGCTAGCAGTATATTTTGGCCTAAATACATTTTCTCTCTTCTTAGTATCTATTCCTCTTGATTTTTTTTATCTACCAATTGTGTTTCTTCCTAACTTTCATTTTTGTTTGAGCAAGCCAAACCCTTATAGTTTTCTTTCATAAAAGGATCTTTGCATTCTCCTGAATTATTGTAGTAGCCTTTTTTGGCACTGATTTCACTCTTCTCATCATGAAATCAATAAGCATTAGTTGCACAAAGTTAGGTCTAATACAGAAAAAAAAAAGTAGTATGTGGCTTGATATTCAGGCTGGTGAGTGTATAGCAGTCCCTACCCCTAAACAAGATAAGCTTAATACTTCCTGAAAATTCAGATATCTTTAAGAATCTCAAGTAGGAAATGTGGAAATATAAGCTCCCTAAATCACCAATTTTGGCCAGTATTAGGCCAAATGGTTTTGGATTAGCAGTTTTCATTTACTGAAGATTTTCCTAGATAATTCTGGAGTAAATCAATGAATGTATACTTTAAAGGTAAAACTTAAAGGTAAAATTTAAAGGTAAAATTCCTTTCACGCAGATGCTTTGCAAATATTTGAAATTATGTCTACCTGAGAACTTGTCTTGTTTAGGAAAACAGTACTTTTTAACATGCTACAAATGTTCCATGAGGTTTGGGGGTTTTTCTACATTTCTAAAGCTGATTACAAATAACAGCAAAAATGTAGATGAATGTTGTTATTTCTAAAATTCAAAAAATTGACAGAGAATCTGCATTTGAAGTATTAACCTTTATGTTCAAAAGTAGCAAACCACTTTTCCATAGGTGCATTTATGTGTATAATCCTAGTGTCATCAAACATTACATAAAACGAATCACTATGTCTTAGATTAGTATGAGCCAGAAATATAGAAATTAAAGTTAATTGCCACAATACTGCTATCCATACTTAAGTTAGCAAAGTCATTTCTGTTTATCTTCCTGATTCTGTTGTAGCGTGAGTAGAAATATGTGGTTTCCTTAGGCAACGGTGGAACAGCATCAAGCTCATGATCATCACAGTAGACTGTGGTCCCTAGGCATGTACACAAAAAGCAAGTGGGAAGACCTAACAAAGAATTTAAAAGAAAACAGTTTGTTACAAAAAAAAAGTACAAAAACGACATGTAAATTACTACAATGAAATGCTCACCTAAGCACATAATGATAAGATTTTGTCCATGATAAAGTTCACTCCCATTCTGTTTTGACACCACATCATATAATTGCAACAACAAAGTGATTAAATTCTGCTTAAAACTAATATTTTTACTGCCTATGCCTATTAGAAGACCATTTAACTTACTTTTCTGATACACTGTTTGTCAGACTATAACAACAGATTATTAGGTGACAGCACCCAACCAAAGATCAATTTTCCCCTCAGCTGGCAAGTGTGCACTTCCCTCTAGATGGAGAAATAACAGCTGATGACTGAAACTTGTTACGATTTCCCAAGTTCGGTTCTGTAAATGGCACTTCTGAATAATTTGTAAGGAAATTAATGTTTTCCTACAGAGCTATGGAGAAGAACCTCAATGTCCTTTGCATGTTGTTTAATTACATTTTCTGATTCAGAAATTCAGCATAATGAAAAATTCCTCTATCCGTCTGAGTCAAGATAACTTGAAGACCATGTAAACAAAACATTTGGTTTCCACCAGAAGTTCATGAAAATGAAAAATCAAGTTATTTCATCTCAGTCATAAAACTGCATGAATACAGTGAATTTAGAAGTTTCTTTTGATGATAATGTTCAAATTTGGTGAGAATTATGCCATTGAGTGGTTTGTCTGAATGTAATTTTCAGTAGGAAAAGTTGTTAGTTGCTATATGCATTGAATTTTTGATACATCTTCTCTTTGATTATGGGTATAAATCAGCATATCTGTTTCTCAGCTTTTACTCCCATAGAAATACTTTTCTGTTTCATGTTTTCCTCCTCCTTGTAGCAGATGGCCGGTTGTTTGTTCTGGTTACTTTATAAAACAATAGCATAATTAGAGAGTATGAAAATGTTTTTCTTGCAGATGAGTTTTTTCTCCAGATCAATTGTAGCTGCATGGAAGATTTGCCTTCTTAATGTGTGTCAATTACCAACAGGCAGCCATAACTAACTGAAGGCGGGCTATATATGTGGTGTGTTTTCAGGCAAGATTAAAGAATCTGTAACCAGAGTACCCTTTTATTTGAGAATCTCTACTTGGGCATCTAGGTATAACATATCTGGAGAGATAAGACTCTCTTTATACTTTCCTTAACTTCCTTCACAGGACATTTTAAATTAGCTAAAAGGAGCAAGCCTGACACAGGGAGAAAATAAATTGTCACACCTTGAATCATTCCAGCAAATCTAGGCCTCAATGAATGTAGAGTTCAGGATGGCTGACATTTTTCAAAATATTGCAACCTAGTACAGGAAGAGAGTTTCCCCTTCTGTCCTATTTTTGATCTTGGAGGAGTGGTATTTGTAACCTATGGCTGGTGTAGACTGAAAAAGGACAGAGGTATGGGAAGGATTCAAAAAAATATCAACAAGAAAAATGAACTTGGCTTGATGTTCCTGAGCCTTGTAGTCTTCTATCCAGTACCAAGCCAAGAACAACAGCAACATCTGACAGGAAAATATGTTGCTGAAAAAAAATAGACACACAAAAAATTCTGATTTTATATGTTACAGCCTTGAGCCTCCCATGCGTATCTTTGGTTGATGCAGTAGTTGATTTGCATTTAGTGCTCAAAAATGTTGACAGATACAAAATTCATAATATGCAATATTTACGTGAAATGTTTTGTAACATCCTGCAGCTTTCAAAACAGAAGGAAATTGTGTGGTTTTTTCAGAACTCTCCTGGGAAATTCTCATTTCCATATTTATTTATTTTGACATCAGTGTATATTTTTGCCTGGTCAAGGCTCACTAGTAATATGTATAAAAACAAGACTAGGAATGATTAATTTCTCTTCGCTAAACATACAATTTTGGAAGCATGAACTCTTGTTTTTTTGGTTTTTTTTTTTTTTGTTCATTTAATTTGTCTTCCATAACACTTGGTTATAGTGTTAGGCATAGTAAAAAATGGGCTTTTCCTGTTGTTGTATGTTGATCACCATACAACACAAAGACCCATCACTGCAGTGGATAACTCTAGCGAGCTTCAACTACAAGAGTTGAGAGTAGCTGCTAACAAATGCCAATTATTAACATCACAATGTTTGTGTGGGAGAGGGACAGATTGTGTTTTATTATTTTAATTCGCCTGTGAGAGGTAGAAAGTTCTTATTTCACTATAGCTAGTCAGAAGAACAGAAAATCAGCTTCACCCAAAATTTCTAAATAGCTCCCTTTCCTTAAGTTTCATAGTTTCTAGTTTACACAGTCAAAAATTTTTCAACATTTTAATTATATTTTGTATGAACACATTTATAAAAATCATGTAACAAATCATTATAAAATAAAAATAGTTGGTAATGATACTGAAATCTAAGTCAATAAAAAAGTACTGGTAGCATTTGCTAACCATTAGCAAATTTTCCTAATGTTGTTTAGGTGTTCATAAAACTCTATTTGAAAAAAATCTTCATTGACACACAGTCATTTTCGTAGTGAAACTGTGTGGAAACATTTTGATTAGGCACCTATCTGACTTCAGAGTGTTCAAGATAGGCATGTTATACCTCTCTACAGTAAGAGAGGTACAGAAATTATATACCTCCTCTTCAGTAAGAGAGGTAGACATTCATAAGCAAGCAAAGTGGGCTCACTCAAAAGCAAAGCTACACAAGCAAAACTAATTTCTCTTTCCTACTAACCATCTTGAGTTTGAGGTCCAAGAACCCCAGACCCCTGTGCTGAAGACCCATCAATTAATTTTGGCGTTGATGCTTCCTCCTCAGGTTCTTCTGTCAATGGTGCAGAAGAATAACTCTCTTGAATTACAGAAGGTAGTGCTGTCCCAATCTCTGTCTAGGAAAAATTAAGAGGGAACAGGAAATGTTACTGTTTACTTCCACTGGCAGCTGTTTCTCTTCCAGTTATTCATATTCTCCCACTAGAGGTCATATATGTTCTGAGGTTTAGTGCTTGAGCTGCACTTTATCCGGCAGCTATAATGAATTCTGATGATGTGTAAACAATTCATGAAACTCCAAAAAGCTTATTCCCTTTTTATCTCAGTGTTTTAAATGTTTTGTTGTATGCACACATGCATGCACACTACATTTACTTCATTAGCAAGAATGTGTACTAACAAAATGCTTTTTCCACCTTTATTTAAGGTTAAATTAGATTTGTGATAAAAACTGATATATTTGTGTGACAAATGAAAATTTGCTGTGAAGCATCAAAAAGATGCAAATCATTTGACCATAAAATTATAAATTGTACCAGCATAAATCCAAACTCAATGTATCTGTGCAGGCTTTGTTATAAGAACACTAACATGCTTTAAAAGTCTTACTATCTAAGAATTCTGAAGTCTAAGTTCACATACTACTTGTGAATATGTTGGCAGTGCTTTTGTCTTTTTTCTTTTTCTGAATCTGAATAACAGAAGGCTCTGGTTAGCTTCATTCATCAGTGGCTGCATTATGTAGTATGAAAAATTAAGAATACAAATAAAAAAGGTTAGATAATTTTTTATTTTAAAAAATCCTATCAGATTTGGCAGATCCTTTCATGGAACTAGAAACCTTATCTTTTCTTCTCCACTCAACATAATTAGTCAAACCAGTGAATTTTATTGTGTTAACTCTAATTCCAAAGATGCATTCTGTTGATTTTGCTGTATGACAACTTCAGAATAAAAATGAAGATGTAGCAATTTTCTTGCATCATATCACCCCTCATAAAAAGAGTATGGCAGACTTGCCAGGCTTGTTGCAGAGGGGCCTATGTTTGCATAGAGGCAGAGTGGTTTACTGTAATCAGCCAGACACTGAGAATCCACTCTAGTTGTGTGACCTTTGCAAGTTACTTTACCACTGTATCTTGATTTCCCCGTGTGTAATAACATTGTTTGACCACCCCAGGGCCTCCTTTGAAAACTTTCTTTTTTTTTTTTAAATCCCTGACAATGAATTAGTGTCCTTATAGGGCTTTGCGCATCTGAGGTACTGTTTAAAAGTTAGGTAATACATCCATCCCTGTGGGTGCTGCACCCCTGTGCTGCAGTTAACACTCCTTAGCCTATATCTGAGGCATGATCAAAAGTAGGAATTTTGTTACAGTATCTTTATCCCAAGTGCGAAGGCACAGAAGCCTAAAATTATGCTTTAATAAAGATTTTCCTGCACTGCAGCCTTCTAGCACAACACTACCATAAAACCATTGAATCCTGAGTTTTTCACGTGACCAAACTTCTCCTGTTTTGAGATCAGCTCCCATTTACTGCTGGCTTTGCTGTCCCCATGGAGAAACAGTTGTTGAAATCACTCACGCTAGTGTTCATAAATTCTAGTTGTAAAAGACAGGTAAAAGTAGATTGCATCCAGACTGGACAAGTGGCTAGGATTTTTTAAATTAAACTTTCTATGTAGACCATACAAGTTAAAGGAACTAACACACCTGAGATCTAGGTCCCCAGTATGAGCAAAGTTTTTGCTATATTCTAATCTCTATTTGAATCTCTTAGCTTAACTATATAATATTCAGCAAATAGAGTTATTTTTGTCTTATTACTCCTGGATAGGACAGTTTTTAAATATCTTTGTGTGAAATACTTATATACATTCATATGTGTAGGTATATTTACCACAATTTTGGAAGAAAACACTTCACACTTCAAAATAGACTCTCTGGATCTTGCAATGTAGCTATATATCATTACTAGCAGTATTAAAAATTATGGTCCTGGACTGCCTGAGAACATCTAAATAATCATCTAAAACCCACTTTTTGCACAGAAATAATTTTGTTTAAATTATATAGTGGCCATAGGTTCAAATATTTTGCATCAATTAGTTTCACTGAAGACAGAGAATATGGAAGCAACGAAAAACCAGGAAGCCCTCTGAACCTCACAGACTCAGATTTTGACTAAGCACACTTCAAGTTCACTGTGTATTCTTTAGTTGTATTCCAATAAGCCATAGATACTATTACTAAGTAAGGTTTATGGATAAAAATGCCCTGATACAGTTACTAGGATCATAACTTTGCAAAACGCGTGGTGATCAAGTGAGCAAAATGAACTTCAGCTGAACTATGAGTAACCTCTTGGTGTAAGTAAGAGTAAGGATGTACCTTGTTGCTTTGTGCAGACAAATACACAATGTTCCCATCTGCAGCACTGACAGTAAGACAGCTTAACCAGGAATGGACTTGGGGACAAATCAAAAAGAAGACTTTGGGAACAAAGGAAATGGGACAGATGTTCTCCGAATAGAGGAAGCCTAGAGGGAGAGATGCATTCCAGACTTCTATTGACCCAGGGTAGTACTGCACTAAAGTGCTTGCACATGCGGTCTACTTCTTCACCAGTTTTGTGGAAATCAGATAAGAGTCCCTGACCTGAACTTTGGAACAAAATCCAGAGATTCTAAGACCTATTGACAGCTTTGCATGCATCTTCTGTGGCAGTTCTACTGAAAATAACATTCTGGAGAAGAGCATTTTCAAGATACAGTTTGTAAATAGGCTTCAGACCTAAGATAATATTCCTTTCACTTGTCATGGGATTTAGGTCGTCTACACTGACTGCCACTTCTCTGAATATTTGAGGGCATACTCTATGGAACTTACTAGCTTGGGATTTGTGATTTGCTTTCTCGGGTGTTCGTAGTTGATTAATCACTGTAGCTGTTGGGTACCAAAGCAGAGGTATTAACTTCTATTAATTCTGTTTCTAGACTGTTATGTCTCTCTCTTTTATTACAGGATGTTATGTAGTTTTGGAGATGCACAGTTGAAAGCCTCCCTATAGTTTCCTTTCCAATGTGCTAAATCTGGGTTCTAGAGAAACTGTTCCAAGCAGTTAGCATCAGTATCTATTCAGTCTCCTGCACCAGTTGTGACTGTCATAAAAAATACCAATTATTACAGTGAATTTAATGATGTTGCCATTTTTACACTGGTGACAGGGTAGGAGTTTGCTGATACATGTGTATTACATACCAGACCAAGAGCATGAGCAGTATTTGCTTGCTGTACATAGGTTGGACTTGAACCAGTAACCTAAAGGTAAAAGTCTGTTTCCCATTATTGGTCATCTGATACATGCAGCTTTCTATCTTTTACATATTTGATAAATCACGCAAGGTTGTAACAAGACAAAGATGTTTCTTGGACTATATACTGTACAGAATGATCCTTCATCTTCCAGATGTTTGTTTATTTTTGGCAACCTGCACTTTACTAAAAAATTGAAACAGAAATGATTCTATATAACTTAATGGTGCTATTCTCCGTAGGGTTTTGGGGGGTTTGGGGTGGGGTTGTACTTCCTTTGCTACTCTAAGAATATTCTTTATGAAAAATGACAAAGCAGGAAGAATATTGTAGAGAAATACAATAAAGCATGTTTCTCTTTACCAATAGTTGCAAGTTTTCAAACCATAATCAGCCTTCCAAGCTAGATTTAATACATGGTGTAAGAAAACACTGAAAGCGAATCACATCACCTACCTTTCACCATCTAACTATATGGTTAATAGTTACCCTACTTTGGAATCAATCAAGAGATTTAGAGAATACCAGTGCAAAATATTAGCCACAGAGCATGCTATAAGCAGAGTAATACCTTTCCTAGGATTGCATGGAGTATCTATTTTTAACTCCTCCCGTATTTATCCAATGTAACTATACTTACAAATGAAACTGCTTAACGTGGATGGCCAATTTAGAGGCACTTTCAGACCTGGAAGTTACAAAAGTAAAGAGCACAGAAATCTGAACATATCAATGAGTGATAAAATACAATTGGTAAAAGTAAACTCATAACTTCAGTCATCCATAGGCTAGGCATCTAGTCTGTGCTAGTGTCCTTTCACAGTCAGCAGAGAATGAGACAAAACTTCTGAAAAGTGGCTCCAGCCACTGACCACAGATGCTTCTTTTAGGATGGGCTCTTTAGGTATCTATTTCTCACCATTGGCTGAAAAAGAGGCAAGACAAATGAAAAGGTTTGTAAGACTAGAAACAGCTCAGGAGGCTGAGCTGTGAAAAAAAAAAAGTGAGATGAAAAAGTATCTGTGGGCTAGGAGTCAGTAGGGATGGAACAGAATAGAAATGTAGATAGGAATAACATATACGAGGATTATGGACCCACATAAGATATGCAAAGTAATAAAATACAGAAAATAAATAGATTTAAAGAGGCAAACAGCAAGGCTGGAAGCCATCAGTTGCCACATTTTACTTCTGAGGTGGTGTAATTCCAGTGGCAGATGTTTTGTCTATTGCTTTATGTCTACATCTTTTAGGATCAAAGTTGATATATTACATGTAATAAATTTAAATCCATAGGAGAATCTGAAGTGTGTCCTGTTTCAGTGTTTCTTTTATTGCAAAAAATATACTTAAAAACACAAACAAAATTTCAGAACTTTAAAAGAGACATTATAAACTTGAAGGGACAGTTGTACCACACACTGACCCATCAAAAGGAACTAGTTTCCCCCACAGCTGTCCTGAAACTACCAAAGGCTTACAAAAAAATGTCTAATTATGGTAGAGGTTTTTGGTTTGTTTTCCTTTCCAAAAGTGGCTCGTACTTGTTTCTTCTTCCTGAGTTTTGCATTTAAGGTCTTCTTTTCTCCTATTGTTCTATCTAAAAAAGAAATAGATCTCTGAGCCTTTGCATGTTAATGCAATAACTACTTAGATTACAAATTCTGCAGCTCAGATAAATTGTCATTTTCTTGTACAGAGCTACATAAATAAGTTGTGTGGAGAAATTAGTGTAATAAAACTCAGGGAGATCTTGGGGAAGGTGGTATTTGTTTACAAAATTTCTAAGTAAACTGATT